AATTAAAAAGGACGCTATATCGAGGAAATCCTTAAATCAGAGACCTCGTTAAAAATAATATTATATTACACAATAATAAAAAAGGTTTTTATTCTCCAAATTGTACTTTAATAAAAAGCCTTCCAGATCTGATCAACTGCCAGAATACAATTCACCAAAAAAAGGAGGAGGAAAGAGGGGCGAGTTTTTGAATTATAGGTACAATAAAAACGAACAGTTTTTCATGGGTGGAGGGTTAACAATTTAAATCGTTTTATCAAAGTGCTCCACACAAAATTGTATTTTCTCTTGGATTTGCATAAAAGCAATTTACTTGGCGAAGGCAAAAAGCAGGAAAATACATTTTCGTTATAAGAAGAATAAAAAATATATACAGTCATTGTAATAAGTTACTGGAAAATTTGACTGTATTTTACTCTAGTATTTATAGCCTTTTAATTTTTTTTTAATTAGACGTAGAGTATTGCTTATGTGGGTGCTGTCATCATAATTTATTTTGCATACATATGCAAATAGGGAAACTATATATGCAAACTTTCCTTTTAAATAAATACGAAAAGATAGTTTGTGTGTTATTCGGGGCTTACGTTTCTACTACTACATTCAATACTTGACCTATCTTAATGAGAAATTCTGATACCGTATAGAGTTCGGTCTGGAAGTAGTCATTGCCAGATTTCCTATACTGGAATATGCAAATTAGTTCGATAATGGTCTAATTTGCATATTCCGTTCCGCGCATTATTTGACTTATCGGGATGCAAAATTTGCCGCGATTTAGAAATTGGTCTGGAAAGAATCACTGTCATAGTTTCCACACTTGATTATTCAAATTAGTTCGATAATGGTTTAATTTGCATATTCCGTTCCGCGCATTATTTGACTTATCGGGATGAAAATTTGCCGCGATTTAGAAATTGGTCTGGAAGGAATCACTGTTATAGTTTCCACACTTGATTATTCAAATTAGTTCGATAATGGTTTAATTTGCATATCCCGTTTGCTCCGCATATGTTTCCTTATTATTCGACCTGTCTGAATGAAACTTTGCCTGCAATATAGAAATTGGTCTGGAAGGAGTCACTGTTATAGTTTCCATACTTGATTATTCAAATTAGTTCGATAATGGTTTAATTTGCATATCCCGTTTGCTCCACATGTTTCCTTATTATTCGACCTACCTGAATGAAACTTTGCCGCGATTTAGAGATTTGTCTGGAAGGAATCACTGTCATAATTTTCATTCCTGAATATGCAAAATAGTTCGATAATGGTTTAATTTGCATATCCTGTTTGCTCCGCATACGTTTCCTCATTATTCGACCTAATTAGATGAAACTTTGCCTGCTATATAGAGATTGGTCTG